GAAGGGCTACTGCAGAGGCATCATTACGGGCCTTGAAGAACATGGTCGACCCACAAGCTGGTCCTTGTGGAAAGCCTTGAGGCCTATTTCTCATCTACTGCTGTGGATATTTTGATTTGTAACACCAGCGAAAACTAGACGTTTCACCTTCGGGTGAGGGTCCTTCTTACCTCCCTTTGTAATTGTTGACGTCAAAGATCTTCTTTGCTCGATAGTACACGAGTTTCCAGGGCCGTGCAATGCCTTTCCCTAGGGTCAGAAGGGAGTGTTAGAGACGCCAGCGCCCTCGGCACAGGCACAGGCGCCCAGCAACCCTGGACGATGTGAGCCGAACAGGAGCGTGGGCACCAGCAGCCGCAGGGACCTCCGCGAGCCGGATGCTCTGACCCGGAGGCTCCAGCTTCTGCTCTACTCCAATCTTAGGAAGGATCTTTCGAAGCCTAAGTACTTTTAACACCATCTGAATTAAAGGGAAGGAGACACCCAGGCAGGGGACATATACCCATGGCTCTCCAGAAAAGGAACAGAACTCTTTCCAAACTCCTCCCTTCCTCCCTCAGGACTGGCCCTCCTGGCTCCCTTCCCACATTCTAGAGCGCGTCTGCCAAATCACTTCTTTAAATTCCAGAGTTCTCCCACAGCGTCCTCCATCACCTTCCACCTTTCCCAGGGGTACCCAGAGGAGGGTCCAGCAAACCCCACATCCTGACCCCCGACACTTGGGGACAGTGGTACATGGAAGGGGGAACTGTACCCAGCACTCTCCTAATTATTGGAACGTGAGAGAGGCAGAGAATGATCATTTGAGTTTTCTTTTCTCTTTGTCTTGTTGAGACAGGGTTTCACTATGCAGTCCAGGAGGGCCCTGAACTCACAGCCATTCTGCTTAGTCTCCCGAGTGCTGGTATTATAGGTGTGACACCATGCTAGGCCTTGACCTTTCACAAGATCTGTACATGCACTATGTGGGGAGACTCGGACATACTGCAAACCCCCAGAGTGGACTGGCATCGAGCAGGCAAGAGCGCACACAGCAGGGCCTGATGGGCCTGCATGGCAGGACGGGCCAGGCACTGGGCTAGGCATGACTCCTCCTGCCTCGGTGACCCTGCTGCAGTGGGAGGTGGAGGCGGAGGCTGCCAGGGCGGAAACACTTCGGAGCTCACCGATGTGCATCCGGAAGGCGTGCTTCCTTTTCAAATCCGTGATGGCAGCCTTTTCCTCCGGGTATCTGTCCGTGTACAGCAGCTTGTCTGCGCTCTCGATCCCCGTCAGTGAGAGGAACTCCCGCACGTTTTCCTCTATCTGCTTGTTTTCCTTAGCAGAGAACTTGCCAAATCGAATAGCAACACCTGGGGTTGGGGAGGGGCGGCGAGAAGCACATGCTGTCAGGATCGAGGGGCAGCAAACTCCCGGGAGAATGGGGCCAGGGGGGCTGCACGCTGGAACTGGCGTGGAGCTGGTGCGCTCGCCTGCGGCCCCACCTTGAGGGGGCTGCCTCCCTCGAGGCACACCTCTGCTCCCCACGTCCTCCCTGGCCATGCAATCCCACAGCAACCTCTGCTGCTCTCGGCTGTCTCTCCCCCAACCCCAGCCCCACACACACTGGGCAAGCACTCTGCCGACTGAGCCATACCCAGCCTCTTTATCAAGGCAGTGTCCCACGAAGCTGCCCAAGCTGGCTACAAACTTATAATCCTCCTGCCTCGCCCTCCTGAGTAGCTGGGATTATAGGTGTGCCACCACATCCAGCCAAAAAGCTAACGGTTTTTCTTTTTCTGCAGTACCAGGGATCAAACTCGGGGCCTCGCACTTGCTGGCAGGCGCTCATGCCTCCGAGCTACCTCCCTGCCCTAATGCTATCGTTTCCTATCAAAAGTAACACATTCAGGGTTGGTGAGATGGCTCAGTGGTCTAAAGCACCTACTCAGAACAAGCTTAGCAAAGCACAGGGACCGCGGTTCAATCCCCCAGCACCACATGCCAGCCAGCC